AAATGAGGATTCGGTTCATTCAAAACCAACAGTAGTTTATTATAGTTTCAAGCTGTAAATAACCCAGATGTCCTTCAAATAGGTTAAAGGGTAAATAATCTGTGGTATACTCACACCTTGCAAACCTACTCAGCCATAAAAATAAATTAATACATGCAATAATCTGGACAAATCCCCATGGAATTTAGCTGAGGGTGTGGGGTAATCCCAAAACTACACATATAATTCTAATTATATAAAATTCATGCAATGACCACCTTACTGGAACGGAAAACAAGTGGTTGCCAAGGTGGGTGAAAAAAATGAAAAGGAGAAAACTGGTCAGAAAAGGGCAACATGAGGGGTCCTCGTGGTGATGAGAATGTTCAGCATCCTCACAGTGTTAAGGCCAAAATCCCTGTTATATACCACATCAGTGTTTGCAACATGTCACTCTAAGCGACACCTGGTAAGGGGTACATGGGATCTCTCTGTATTTTTTCTTAAAATTGGATATGAATCTACAATTATGTTCAAAATTAAACATTTAATTAACAAAAAACAGCCACAGAAAGTCACATTACATCCAAAAGAATGACATTTAGAATAAGAACAGATTGCTCCACAACAAAAAGACAGGAAAAAGATACCTTCAAAGTACTGAGAAAAAAGTAACTGTCAGATTAGAAATATGCATACAGAAAATCAACTTTAAATAACATGAGTGATTAAAAACATTGATAAACAAAAACTACCATAAATATTTTCCATCAACAGACTGTCATGTAAGGTACATCAAACAGCATGCTTCAGAACAAAGGAAAATTATCCTAGGCAAGCGGCCTGAGACACAAGAATAGTGAATACATTTAAAGTTTATAAAAATAGTAATATCCCTAGGATCTAATGTTAAGATTAAAAATCACAAGCTAAAACTAAAAATGTTGGGTGATTCTAGCACAAAAACTGAAAGAGATAAAAAGATGAAAATATTAACAAAACACTTTAAGTATATATAGATACTAGAATTCAAAGAAAATTCCTCAAAATGAAAAAAAAAAAATGGGTAGAATTTAGATACTTTTTAAATTGGTCCAAAAAAAAAAACACGGACCACAGAAAGAACACAAAATAAGACAGAAATAAATTCAAGTACTTTGATAATCATTAAAATGCACTAAGCTTGGGCTTAACTGCCTGCCTGTCAAGTAGGCAAGTGCAAAGTTCAGAGCTCAATCCCTAGTACAAAAAAAAAAAAAAAAAAAAGAGTGGGGCCGGGGAGATGGCTCAGTGGAATAAGCGCTTCCCTGGCAAGCGCAAGGGCCTGAGTTCAAGCCCTGGTTCTGCACAAAAAAAAAGAAAGAAAGAAAAGAAAAATAAAAAAAGAAATGCACTAAGCTCATCAGGTTGAAAAACTATGTTTATAAGGCATACTAAAACATAGATAAGGTGAAAGACAGCAAAAATCTACTGGCCTATATAAACAGGAAAATGGAATAACCAAAATACTAAATAAAAAGGTTAATAATTTTATCATCACTGAAACCTAACATTTAAGACTTCCTTGCACAAAAATAAATACAATGTCCAGCCCATTTTACAGGCAAGCTCTATCCAACTTCAAAAGAACAGGGGGTTCAATCCCCCAGCACCACATGCCAGCCAGCCCCGCCCCCTGGTGGGCTGAGCTGGCCACACACACACACTAAATAAAATAAATAAAAAAAATTTTTTAAAAAAAAGAACAGATTTTTTTTTTTATTTTCTAGAGTAAGGGGGTATTCCCTAATTTATTGTATAACCTAGACATCAAAACTGACAAAAACAATACAAAAAAGAAAAATTACATGTCAGTTTTATCACTGTGCTAGATTATAATCAGCTAAAATCACTAGAGATTATTATTAAACACTGACAGAAATTTCAACTAGCAAGCATTGTAATATGTACATATTTTCGATTAAAAAATAATTAGGAAAGAAAAAAAGACTATTATTATTTACAGATACCATTGCCCACAAAACACCCAAAACCCTGCAGACAAATTTCAAATATACAAACTAGCAAAATGGCTGGGCACAGTGGTACAGCCTATAATCTCAGCTACTCAAGACACTGTGGCAGGATCATGAATTGAAGACTAGACCGTCTCACAACAAACAAGAGGAAAGGACTGGGGTGGAGCTTGGCATTAACAGTACCTGCCTCACATGCACGAGGTTCTTGACTTTAATTCCCAGTCTCTCTGTCTCTGTCTCTGTCTCTGTCTCTGTCTGTCTCTGTCTGTCTGTCTGCCTGTCTCTCTCTCTCTCTCTCTCTCTCTCTCTCTCTCTCTCACACACACACACACACACACACACACACACCCCTTAGTAAAATGTTTGAATTTAACAGACGTAAAACAAAAATGTAATTTGAGGTCAGCAGTTAATATTTTTGAAAGATACCACTGACAACAGAACAGAAACTATAAATGAATCCAAACAAAATTATTCAAACGCTTTATTAGAAAAATCAGAAAAGGAAAATATGCTAGCTTAATGAACAGTAGGATTCAATATTATGCAACTTTTTTCTTCCTCAAAGTAATGTTTCAATAATTAATGCAATTAAAAGCCAAAGAGCTGGCAAGCACAAGGGTCTGAGTTCAATCCCTGGTTCCACCAAGAAAAAAAAAAAAAAAAGCCAAAGAGAACTCTTGGGGAGGTGACATATTAGTTTCAAAACTGCTTCTTTGCCAAGTCATTCTTAGCAACACAACAGGTGGAGGAACTTGTTTAAAGATCAAGACTTTCTCTATAGCCATAAAAATATATGTTTGGTGTTGGCTCTGGGACAGACAATAAATCAACAGTGAAGTACACGAAATAAAGCCCACACACATATAGAAACATATAGGGCTGGTGAGATGGCTCAGTGGTCTAAAGCACCTACTTAGAACAAGTTGAGCTAAGTACAGGGACCGCGGTTCAATCCCCAGAACCACATGCCAGCCAGCCCCGCCCCCTGGTGGGCTGAGCTGGCCACACACACACACACATAAATAAAATTAAAAAAAAAAAAAGAAACATATACAACAAAGGGAACTACAGATCAATAGAGAATAAAGTAACCGCTCAATAATGGGCTTTAGACAACTGGTTATGTGGACTTAAACAATGCCTAAAAAGTGAATTTGGATTCTTTTATTATACCAAATATGTATGTTGGTCAATATGGATTAAAGATTTAAATGCAAAAATACAAAACTTTATAATTTATAGAATAGACTGCTTTATTACCTCAGATAGTTGTGTTTTTTGTTTTTTGGGGGGTTTTGATGGCACTGAGGAACAAACCCAGAGGCTCAGGCATTCAAGGCAAACACCACCACTTACCTACACCCCCAGCCATGGTATGTTGCTTAAACAGAATATAAAACGTAGAAGGAAAGGTCAGTCTAACTCTAGGCCAAAAGGTAGGCCTAATTTCTTGTTAGAGGAAATAAACAGCAGAGGATACCATCAAGACTCCATTAAGTTATTCCAGAATAATCACCTAAACTTGGGGTGGCAGTGAGAGTTGGGTAGGAACAATCAACAGAAACAGACCATAAATGATACAGATGACAGAATGAACAAGTATATCAAAGCTGCTATTAGAAATATCCTACAGATGTACCCCCAAAATAGAGAACAGCATAAATTAAGTACACTAAGGAGTATACATGAAAGAAAAAAAACTCAAATGAAACTTCTAAAATATAATGTCTGAGGTAGGATGAAAATGAGATTAGGTACTTAAGAAGAAAAGAATAAACATGAGGGGAAAAAAAGAGTAGGGCATAGTGTGCTGCGGGACAACTGTGATTACGACTTCACAATCATATTAGGTCCATTTTCACACACTGCAAATTATGCTATCACCTAACACAAAGTGACGGGAGCCCTAGAAAAGGAGGGACAAAAGTACAGCAACAAACATAAATGAACAAATAATGCCTCAAATTTCTACACTTGACAAATGCTACAAAGCTACAGGTAAACAGCTATAGCAGGAAAAAACAACACTGAGCACATCATAATCAAATTGTGATTTAAAAAGGACAGCTGAAGAGCAGTCATAAAAATCATAACTTACATATAAACAGAATAGTTTTCTTGCTGCAAATCACAATAAGATATCCCTTTAACAACCAGGAGGTTGGTAAAAATTTTAAAGTCTGAAATTACTGAGCATTGGAAATATGAAACAAAGGTAACAATAAAAGACAGGGCTGATGGGGTGTAAACTGGCACAGTCACTTTAAAATACAATTTGGCAACATTTTGTGAAGAAAAAAAAAAGGTATTAAAACTATGTGACCAAGCAATATCACTCTTAGAGGACATTCTTATTGCAGCCCTGTTTGTAACAGCAAACACAAAAACATGAAATCTATATGTCCAACAAAAGATGGAACAAATTACAGTACACTTATATAATACAACAGAAATAAAAATGATGCTTAAAAAATGTTCAATTGAAAAAAGGCCATAGAAGTAAATATACACTGTCATTCATATAAAATTCAAAAACATATAAAATTAACATTTTATTTAGGGTTACATATAAGAGCTATAAAACCACGAGCAAGAGGACAAAACAGAACAATAATTAGTTAAGAAAAAGGGCGCATTTGGGACTCCTGGAATCTAGGAAGTGTTCTTATTTCTTGAGCTGGTTGATAAGTACAGAGACGCTCATATTAATTATTCTTTAAACCTTATATATACATATCTATGCATTCTTGCTATATGAAACACTTTATTTAAAAAAGACTCAAAATGTGAAATGCACTAAAAATGAATACTCCCTAAATGTATAATAGTGTAAACAAAGTATGCACAGAAAATGTTCAATTCTTGTTCATTCAGTGCCCTATTTTATCAGTCTTAATCTAAAAGGGCCAAAATCCTAGTTAAAAAAAAATAATAATAACAAGTAGAGTCTTTAACTTCTCTGACACAAAGTCTAAACACCTGCTTTGCTGGTCCAACTATTCATTCCTAATTCATATTTTATCTATACTTCGATTTGTCTTTGGATTTCTTTGGACTTCTGCTTCGGTCTCTCTTTTTGCTTCTTTCTTTTTCATAAGCATCTGTTTGGTGTCTGGATTTGTGACTATTACTATAGTGCCCATCTCTTTCTCGAGATCGACTACGACTTCGGTTTTGAGGTCGGTCTCTCTTCTCACTCTTTTGTTTCTCCCAAGAGCTTTCATTTTCTTCATAGTGACCAAACCCCATTTCCCTGTAGATATCCTGTCAAAGAAATATAGGGAGAATTCAGAGTCAAAAATCTGTAAAATAAATACTCTGTTGGCACTGTCAAATAAAACCTAGAAAAATCCACCATTAGCAAGCTGTTCTAACAGCTCAAATTTGAATAAAACCATTAATGTCAAGAATCTCATTATTAAAAAGTGAATAATTCAAAAGATTTAACCATTTTTCTCATCAATATGCTTTGCACCATTATTTTAGATGAACTGAGGGATCATTACCACAAAGAACTGAAACAGCCCAAGCAATATTAGAACAAGTCTATAATGTTGTATCAACCATTCTCATTATGTACAATCCCCTTTCCACTTCCCCTTACTCTACTCCCCCCAAAATGTGATCCCATATTGATTTATAATAAAACTGCTGAAATTACCATAGCAATCCTTAAAGACTTCATTTAAATATCACAGGAGGCAGAGGTCTTAGTCTAAGAAGAAAAAGTAGTTTCTGCATAATTTGATATAGGCAAATTCATTTTAAAGAAATGCTTGAGGGCTGGTGAGATGGCTCAGTGGTCTAAAGCACCTACTTAGAACAAGCTTAGCAAAGCACAGGGACCACGGTTCAATCCCCCAGCACCACATGCCAGCCAGCCCCGCCCCTGTTGGGCTGAGCTGGCCACACACACACACACACACACACACACACACACACAAATAAATAAATAAAAAAAAATTAAAAAAAAAAAAAAAAAGAAAGAAATGCTTGATGCCAGGGATTGACCCGACATTGTGGGGGTGCTAGCAAGCTTGCTTTCTACAGCTGACCTATACTCTAAGCCCAGATTAATTTTTCAAACGAATGAATCGGTGTCGCCTTCATCCCAGTCTCCCAGAACTGGGGATTGAACATAGACCCTTAGGCTTGCCAGGGAAGCGCTTATTCTACTGAGCTATCTTCCTGGCTCAGCCCAGATTAATTTTTAAAGAGTTTTATTTTATAACTGCTTCTCTCAATCTTCAAATATATTTTGCATGTGTAGACTAGCCTTATGTTTTTGTTACTATCTACATATTTAGTAAAACTATCAGTTGAGAAATATTGGAATAACCTATTGCCCCAGACAACACAATGATTTTATTTTATTCTATTCTAAGTAATTAAATAGTAATCATTTTCTCACAGAAGAAGGCTAGTTAACAATTCTATTTGTTGGTGTCCTACTCTTAATTAAAACAAGTATCTCAGTGAATGACTGAAATCTAAAGTAACCAGAGCTAATCCTCTTTCAAGACAGTCTAAAATTCAACTTTACAAAATTGCTGAAAGGAAAGGCAAAAGGACTGTACTCTCAAATCCCTCTACTCTCTCACAACAGACATTATTCTAGTAGGCATTAAGTGTCAAAGAGTGTAAATAGAGTGATATATACTCATAATTAAGGACCTTTTATATAATTTTATTCTATAAAATCCTCAAGACACACAAATAGGCATGTAAGCACTATGAATGTTTAAAATAAGAGATAAAAAGCTATAGGGTCAGGGACAACACAGTGGTGCTGTACATACTTGCCTAGCACACGTGAGGCCCTGGATATGATTCCCTAGCACCAAAGGAGAAAAGAAGTTATGAAATAGTTAGCTGAAAATCTGAGGAAGCTAAAAATTTGAAAGGGACTAAAATTTTCAAGCCACTTCTACTTGGATTAGTTTCCAAAGCCAAACAAGCTTTGACATCTGGCAGATCTGGATTTGAATGGCCTTAGCCATTTAGGAGATAACTGAAAAGTACTCTTGAAGTTACATTTATTAGTTTCAAGAAGTTAGAATTTGAGGTAAGCGTTAAAAGGGGAGTGGGTTTGAGTTTGAACCAGCTACCAAAAGGCTGAAGAAAGTATAAATGGGAGCTGGAAAGCAAGGTGAATTAGCACTCTGTGTTCCTAGGAGAAAGCTCAGGTGGCTGGATGAAGTCATAGCAAACCAGCCCCTCATCCCGTGCCTGTGCAGCGCTAAGCACTTGAGGAGTACAGAATTACCTTCAAACTAGAGGCAAAAAGAGTGATATTCATGAGATCTACACAGGTTGTACATGATCATTTAACTAATCAGTAATTTGATGTAAAGCTGGAAAGCTAAGGATGGTAAAGAACAAAGGAAAAGGAAACACACTGACTGAATTCAAATAAATGAAGTTTTAGGTCCCACTTACATAAAGGCCCAAAAGCTCATTGGATCACCATCATCATGTCTAACATGAAGAAAATCAGTAAGGTGAGCATTAAGTCTCTTCTACTACAGACTTCAAGAAGTTCTATTGTTTTACACCGTTAAGGCATGACATAAGATGGTCAGAAAGGGAAACGAAGCACACACACAGGCCAATTGAACACACCTGACATAACAGCAGCCAGGGATATAGCTCACGGGCACAGCACCTGTCTGGTAAGCGCAAGATCCTCAGTTTGATTCCCAGTACAAAAAAAAGAAAAAACCCACAGCAAGTGACTTGATATAGTCAAAAATATGCCTAGTCAGACTAAAAACTAGCCTTGCTCAGATCTCTGGGATTAAATCAAATTTTCAATCACATTTAAATCACTAAAATAGGGCCGGCCAGATAGTTCAGTGGATTAAAGTGCCTATTTAGGCAGCTTAGGCAAGACACAGGGACAGGGGTTTGATTCCCACCATGTGGTGCCAACCCCACCATCCTCCTACCCCCAGGTAGCTTGGGACTGAGATTGGGCGTGGTGGCATGCGCCTGTAATCCTAGTGCTTGGGAGGCTGAAAACAGGAGGATCACTATGAGTCCAATCTGTGTAGTGAGACGCTACAGACCCTATACTAAATACCTAAATAAATCATTAAAATAATAAATTCTTTAACTCACAACAAAAATAGAGTTACAAGTTACAAGGAT